CAGGTTTCTTAGACCCCGAGGTTGTAGCGGAGGATGACTTCGACTTTTTGGATTTTGGGGATTCTGATGGTTGGGCTTCAGAGCGCCTCTTCCCAGCAGAAGGTTGAGACTTGTCACTCTCAGCCAACTTAGAGATTGACAGAGCATCCTTAGACTCAACTTGAGTAACTTTAGCTTTTGGCTGAACTTTTTTTACTCTTTTCGGCTTCGGTGGGAGAAGGGTTTGTGCTGGTTGATTGTCTACGGATGAAGGAATGCTGGCCAGAAGGTCTTTTGCAACTGGTTTTGCGCGACCCATCTCGGCAGTAGGAACTGTTCGGCATCGGCGGCGGCGCTGCGAAATTGAAACCAAGTATGGAGCTGAAGTAGACGGTTGCTCGGCTGGATCAGAAGTTGACCCCTGATCTGTCCAAGATGTGGATGCGGTGTTACAAGTGCACCACATTACAATGTTATGCACCAATCACCAAGTATTATGTCTCATGCCCCAATACAAAATTGTGGGCCTAACCATGCCTCAAAACCATTAGATAATTTCTCTTATTCAATTAGGTATTGCTGATGTGGTATTTAGGCCAAGTTTGGCATGATTGAAAAAAGACAAAAAGTCAAAAAGTCACTATCCTATTTAAGTCACATCATCTTATTTAAGTCACATCACCTCTCTAACACATCACTTCAAACCCAACCCAAACCCAACCCATATTTCATAAAAAGTCAAAAAATACACTTATTTAGTCTTCCCAAACTAGGCCTTACTTTTGTTTTGTTATTTCGAAACTTAAAAAATTCTTAACTTTCAAGGTAAACTACCAATAGGTCCTAATAGTTTCATTTAATTCTCATCAAGTCCTATTAAAAATAAATCCTAATAAAATTATTGCTAAAAATAATTTTTTGTGACATTTTTTTGTATATGTCGCTAAAAATTAATTATTAGTGACTTTTTTTTAATCACAATTTTTATAAATTATCGCTAAAACTTACAATTAATGACTTTTTCTGTGATGAATTTTTTAAACTGTCGCTAAAAGTTAAAAACTAGTAACCTTTTTTGTGATTTTTTTTAAACTGTTGCTAAAACTTATAATTAGTGACATTTTTTATGACAAAATTTTCAAATTGTCGTTGAAAATTAACAATTAGTGACATTTTTTAATAGTGCTTGATGAAAAATGTCATTAATGATCATAGGACCTATTAGACAATAAGCTCACCTGTTAAGACAATAAGCTCACCTATTAAGACATACACGTAAGTCCCCCTTAACTTTTATTATACACATTTATTTTTAATAAAAATTATATTTTTGGAGTCTACACAATGAGATCTATCAAATAAGACGAATGTTAAATATAAAATTTTATAAAAAATACAATATTATTTTCTTAGCTATACGAAACTAACAATTTCTTAATTTGCGAAACTATCCAGTAAATTGAGAAAGTTCTCAGTTTTTTCCAGTTTTAAAATTAAGAGTTTTTCCAGTTTAAAAATTGATAATATTCTCAATTTTATAACTAAAAAAAAACTGAGAAATTTCTTAATTTTGCACAGAAATAATCCATATAATTGTTTCGTCAACTGAAAAATTTCTTCAAATTGAAACATTTTTCAAATATTAGGAATCATATATTTTAGATAAATTTCATAGTTGCAATCTATTTTTTTTATAATTTTTTAGTGCAACTTCTTCATTTTAGGTATGACTTTTTTTCAATTTTGTATAAAATTTTCTCTTAATTAACTATATTTTATATATAAAAAATTAGACCAAGTAAATGTTGTGAGTTAAGTAAGTTTAGAAAATTTACTATTAAAAATAGTTTAAATTGTAAATCATAATAAAAAAAACATATTTTTATTTTTTTGTATAATTTTATATTTAATCTTAGTCTTGTTTCATAGTTTTCGTTGTGTTGATTTTAAATATATAAATTTTATCAAAAATAAATGTGTATTGTAAAAATTATGATATTTTGAAATTTTAAAAATCAAAATAAACATTACATCACCATATTTTTTTTATTTAATTTTATAAACAATTATAAATGATGAACAACTATTGATTGGAGGATAATTTTGTCTATTAAAAATTAATAGGACTGAGTACTAAGTCTTAGAGTGCTGTTAAATGCCCCTACTTATCTATTTTGAACCCTCTACTTCTATGAACCCCACTTACATAATTGAAACCATTCCATCTTCTCTTTGAATCCCATCGTAATACCAACCATACCCTTGTTACCCGCAACTCTTCTTTTTTTGGCAACCCTTCCACAGCCGGCAACCCTTCACCGTCGGCGACCTTTGTTGTAAGAAAAATGCTTGGGAGCACTAATTAGTGCTCCCACTAATTAGGTAGCAGTGGGTCCCGCCATTAATGATGTGATGTTTTGGTCTTGGAGTTGTATTTTTTTTTTTTTTTACTTTTTTAATGCATTAGTGCTATTAGTGGTGGTGTTTTTAGTGGGATGAATCATTGTTGTTGTTCTAATGACCTTTTCCACTCTCACTGACAACAGAAAGAAGGTCTAATGGAGTATCTAAGATTTAATAGAATATAAGCTCAAATAAAACTTGTGTATGTGTCCCTAGAATTAACAACAATGTTAGATGTCATGAAAAACTTTTCATGAAAATAATTATGAAAGTTTTGTAATCCTTGGATTACACTTAGAATAAAGCACCACACACTAATCAAGGTAATCTAAGGATCATAAATCTTTCATGATCATTTTCATGAAAAAAATTTCATGATCCCTAACTTTTCTCTAGAACTAATAAGGTATAGAATTATTCACTGTTTCTTAACTTCCTAACAAATAGAGAGTTTGCATTCCAAATTATTATGCCTCATGTTGGCTCTATCATAATTATTATTATTTTTGCACAAAATAGGAGTTAATAAGTTAATCAAAGGCAACACTATGGTATATACTCTTCAAAAAGTATGTACTATATGCACCTTCAAAAAGTATGTACTATATGCACCTTATAATTAAAGAAAAAAATGACATAAATTTAAACTTTCTGAGTTATAACTAAAAAAATAAAAAAGTATCATAACCAAATATAACATAAGACATAACAAAACAACTCATGAATTATAACTAAAGAAAAAAATTGATCATAACTAAAAAAGAAAATAAAATAATTAAAAATACATATGATACACCATTTTTAATAGTGTGTATGTTAGAATTTCCAGTTAATTAATGGTTAAATTACAACATAAAATAGTGAACCTTACAATTTTCATTCCATCAATTACTCTCTGCTCCAAATTAGACCTCCCGAAAAATGGTGTATATTTTATTTTTCTTAAACAATTTTTAAGACTTTATTTACAAGAATTAAATAAGCTTTTGTAATTTTAAATAAAATTTTTTATTATTATTACATTATTTTTTGGACCCAAAGGCACGGACGGATTAGAAATTTAGAGTCACCACGCCACCATGTCATTGACACTACCAAGTTTAAAGTAATCTTAAAATAATATTATAGTTTTAATTTTTATAAAATTAAATTTTGATCATATAAAAAAGGGTAATTTATACTTTTCAGTTGCTAAACTTTCATTCAAATTTTACAATAATACTTGATAACTCGAATTTTCATAACTCAAATAGCTCGAATGTAATGATGTTGTTTTAGGGATAAAACGATATTATTTTAATACATTTAAGTCATTCAGACCACACAAGTTCTAACGAGCAAGTATTTTTACAAATTTTATTTTGTTGCTTATTGTACCAATTTATTCCATTACCACGGACTCTATATAGATATGTATGTATGTACCTTCCACTAAATAAATAGAGAAAAGTTAGGTATTATGAAAATTTTTTCATGAAAATGATCATGAAAGATTTATGATTCTTGAATTATCTTAATTAGTGTGTGGTATTTTATTTTAAATGTAATTCAAAAGTCACAAAACTTTCATGATTATTTTTATGAAAATTTTTTGATGATATCTACCATTGCTGTAATAAATCACCAAGGATCCTCTAGAGTGAAATATTCCTAAAGTTTCCTAGAGTGCTACATTGTGTGGTTGAGATTTACTGATAAGTCACATCAGAAAAATTGATGTGACTTGCCAGTAAATCTCAACCACACAATGTAGCACTCTAGGAAACTTTAGGAAAAAATCACTCTAGAGGATCCTTGCTCGTAATAAATAACCTTTGCGTTAGTGCTGCATGTCGGTTTTGAAAGCAAAGCAAAGCAGAGCGGCAAGAGAGAGATGGACGACTTTGAACTCGGAAATGAAACTTATCTTGAGGTCGTCTTTGCTTCTTTTTTATATCTTTCTATCTTTCACCTTCTTCCTATTTTTGTGTGTGAATTCTGAAAGTTCCAGACAGCTTCGAGGCTACTTCCAGGGAGTTTCGTACCAATTTCAGAGTTGAATCTTCTATATATTTAGTAAAAACTCAAATCCTTCAACCAGACAGAAAACCCTCACTTCACTTGTTTTAACTGTAATAGTTTCCTCACCCTCTCCTCCGATGATCTAAAAAACCAGCCTCTGACCGGTGACCGGATATCAAATTTTGTGCTTTCCAACCCATATTTACTGATATATAACAATCTTGTCGTTTTGGAGGATTTTGAAGTCTTGCTCCCGATACCGTTATTTAAATCTTGCTCTTGATCATGCTCCAGACCAACACCAGTGGCAGCAGCCACCACGGTTCTGATGATGATGCCGGAGGCTCTCTTCGTGCTGGCTTACTCACCACCACCACCACCACCAGCTCTTCAGATAATAGATACAGAAGGCTTTGGCAACGCGGTAATATATGTGTAGGCCTTTTGATTGCACTCAACAAGAGGCCGTCACTGCCTTACGACGCTCCTCCACCACCATCACCACAACCAACAATAACTACTACATTTTCTTCTCCCTCTCTGTCTGATGATGCCGGAGGCTCTCTTCGTGCTGGCTTACTCACCACCACCACCACCACCACCACCAGCTCTTCAGCTAATAGATACAGAATGCTTTGGCAACGCGGTAATATATGTGTAGGCCTTTTGATTGCACTCAACAAGAGGCCATCACTGCCTTACGAGGCTCCTCCACCACCATCACCACAACCAACAACAACTACTACATTTTCTTCTCCCTCTCTGTCTGATGATGCTGGAGGCTCTCTTCGTGCTGGCTTACTCACCACCACCACCACCACCACCACCACCAGCTCTTCAGCTAATAGATACAGAAGGCTTTGGCAACGTGGTAATATATGTGTAGGCCTTTTGATTGCACTCAACAAGAGGCCATCGCCGCCTTACGAGGCTCTTCCATCACCACCACCACAACAACCAACAACAACTACTACTACATTTTCTTCTCGCTCTCTGTCTGAAATCGTGATTGATGTCAACGAGGAGGAGGAGAAGGAGGAGGAGGAAAGGGGTGGCGCGGTCACCAGTGAGGTAGTAGATCAAGAGCAGGTTAATCGCATTGTTAAACACAAAGACTTAAAGTCTCTGAGAGACTTGGGAGGTGTTGAACAAGTGGCGATCCTGTTTAATTCTGACTTGGTCACTGGACTTTGTGCCTGTGGTGATGATCTAGAAGCTTGGAACACAACAATCAACCCATTTCATGGTTTGATACACTACTTCATCAAATCCAGCAACAGTTACACTATCTTCCTTCTCTTGATCTCGGCTGCTCTGTCCCTATTAACCGAGACATTGATGGAAGGCCTTAAATACGGGTGGGCAGATGGTGTTACGATACTGGCCTCCGTGTTCTTGCTTGTCACCGTCCCTGCGGTGACTAACTTTGTCGGAGCAATGAAGCTAAAGAAGAAATTGCAAAGGAAAGAGAACAAAGTAGAAGTTACAAGAGATGGGTCGCCCCAAATTGTTGGAGTCTCAAGAATAAGGTTGGGTGATATTGTGAATTTGAAAGAGGGCGATCGGGTTCCTGCAGATGGTTTGTTTGTTGGTTCTGGTGGTGACAAGTTGGTGTTGGATGAGGTATTTGCCTCCGAAATCGATTCTGATCACAACCCTTTTCTTTTATCTGGTTTTAAGGTACGTAAACCTTGTGTTTTGTGTTATTTGTCTTTCATGTTCTTCTCGTGAATTGCATGAGTAATTCGTTTCAAGAATCAAGGTATAGAACACTGGACACACACAAAAAAAGATCTCTAGTTTTAGCCGAGTTTCATTTTTTACCATGCTTTAATTTGAACATATTTGCACTCCATTTTGGGTTGTGTCAAGTAAGGACAATAAAAATCTGAGGTTAAATTTTTAGATGGAAAACATACATGCAACTAGGGACAGAAATGGAAATTCATACTAACACTAACACACTAGACTGAGTTCACTCGCTTTTGATCAATTATTGAGTAAAGTCAACTCATCATCATCACCTACCAGCAAACCCATCGCTTCTCAGCACCTGCAACCACTCAGCCTGCCACCACCAAAGCATCACCAGCCCCTCTCCATCGTTGGCTAGCACAACCAACCAGCACCACCTCTCATTCCTTCCCCGCCAATCCACATCTCCCATCCTAGCACCCAAAGCCCTCTTCCAAAATTCAAATTTGTCCCATACATACCACAACAAAATATTCTCTAAAATCTGACCCCTCTAAGAGCACAACAAACCCACATATACTTTAATTTCAAAGAATCCAAAAACTTCAAGTTTCTTTTCCTTGGTAATGGTTATATTTTCTACTTTGTTAACTTCACCAAAACCTCCAACAATCACCCACCAAAACCAAATTGTGAAAGCTTTTACAATCTATGTCTACATCAAATTGCATAAAACCCATCATTAATCCCAACGAATTCAATTCAATCCAATATTTTGAGTTAAGCAAAAGAATTGAGCACATTGGTCAAACCCACTTCAATATATATATGCTGTGTGCATGTAATTTTTTCACTACAGTATGTTGCAGTGGATTTAATGGTTTGCTTCGGTTGTAGAGTTTGATTCTTATGGGGAATTTGAAGGTGTACTTCGTGATGGTGAGGGTTTGGTGCTGATGGTGTGGTTGTAGCGAGGGCTGATTTTGGTGGTGGTTCAAGGTGTAGGAGGTGGGTTTTGGGGTCGTACGAGGTATTGGTTTTGGTGGTGGTTCAAGGGTGGTGTGATGGGAGGTAGGTTTTATGTTGGCAGATAGGCTGTTTCGGCGGAGGTTTGGGGTGGATTTGGTACTAGTTTGAGGTTGGTGTGATGAGGTGGTGACGTGGCGGAGGTATTTTGATGGTTATTGGTGACTATGTCTAGGGTGGTGACGGTTTGGAGGTGGTTGGGGCGATAAAAATGAGCAAGGATCCTCTAGAGTGATTTTTTTCTAAAGTTTTCTAGAGTGCTACATTATGTGATTGAGATTTACTGACAAGTCACATCAATTTTTCTGATGTGACTTGCCACACTACAACAAAAACATACTTTAGTGGCACTACACTAGTGGCATATTTTTAGAAAATGCCACAAAAAATGATATTTAGTGGCACGTTTTTGAAAAATGCCACAAAACGACAAACATAAAAGGCTCTAGTGACATTTTAATGAACAAGTGTCACAACACTACAACAAAAACATATTTTAGTGACACCATACTAGTGGCATGTTCTTAAAAAATGTCACAAAAAGAATATTTAGTGACATTTTTTAGAAAAATGTCATAGAGCCACAAAAATACAAGGCTCTAGTGGCATTTCAATTAAAAAAAGTGTCACTTCACTACAACAAAAATGTCACTACAAAAACTTTTTATAAATATTTGCAATGGCATTTTTTAAAAAATCTCAGGACACTAGATAGGTGCAAATTACTTTTTATGGCACTTAGGTGAAAAGTGTCATAAACAAATACTTTATAGCATTTTGAGAAATGTCACTAAGCCAAAAACTTTCCAAGCTTATAATGACATTTTTGAAAAAACAAAAAATGCCAATATATTTTCTAAATTTTTAAAATGCAGTAAATGATTAAAAATAAATGAATTAAACTCAATATACACTACGATAAGTTTATGTGTTAATAGACTTTTTCATGGTTTAATCATCTATAGGCTGCTAATAAAAGAGGTTTGAGCAATGTTTGTTGTCCTTTTTGTTTGGTTGTCTCAAAAATGTTAGTAGCCAAAAGTTTATAATTGGCGACTAAAACTAAGTTTGGTCGCTGATTATATGGGTTTTAGTGACTAAAAAATTTTTAGTAGCCCAAAGTAAAGCTTTTTGGCGACTAAAAAAATTTAGTGGCCAAAAGTCTACAATTGGCGACTAAAAATAAGTTTAGTCGCTGATTATATGGGTTTTACCAACTAAAAAAATATTAGTAGCCAAAAGTAAAGCTTTTTGGTGCCCAAAAAAAATTTAGTAGCCAAAAGTCTACAATTGGCGACTAAAAAATAAGTTTAGTCACCAAAAATGGTCATTTTTAGCGCGGGAGAACTAAAATCCTAACGCGGGAATAAAATTTTTTGGTGACCAAAATTTTGGTAGCTGAAAGTGCATCTTCGGCGACCAAATCCGATTTTGGTCGACAAAAGTTAAGTTTTTTAGCAACTAAAAAATAATTAGTAGGCAAAAGTATAGAATTGGCGGCTAAAAAATATTTTTAGGCGCCAAAAGTGATTTTTTTTTTGTAATTTTGGTAGTAAATAGTTTATTTTACATAAATTATGTTCAATAAAATAATTATGTTTATACATATACTTTTATATTAATATGGATGTATGTACTATATAAATAATATATGTTGCATATATAATCATGTGGTGCTATAGAGGTGTGTAGTGTTTAGAGGTGTAAGTGGGAAGAGTGTGGTATATATAAGGTTTATGGTACGGAAGGTTGGCGTTCGAGTCTCCGCAAGAGCGGATCAAAATTGTTCTACAATGAATTATTGTCATGAATGGCACTTGATAGCGTCACGAATAGTGCCTACCATGACATTAAAGTGTCACTGAAAGGTTTTAGTCTTGATGGTGTAATGACACTTACAAGTGTCACTAACTCTTTTTTTAATGGCGCTTGATAGTGCCACAAATAATATCTACAATGGCATTAAAATATCATTGAAAGTTTTCAGCCATGATGGTGCAGTGGCACTTGCAAGTATCTACTGTGACACTCGTATCTACCGTGGCATCGATAGAAGTGGCACTTGTTCAAAATGCCACAAGACCAAAAAATGTCATTAGAAGAATAGTTTTGTGGCACTTTCAAATGTCACTAAACTAAGAAAATGTTGTAGTGCCAGTAAATCTCAACCACACAATGTAGCACTCTAGGAAACTTTAGGAAAATTTCACTCTAGAGGATCCTTGGTGGATAAAAATGGTGGTTCAGTGGTGGTTAGTGGCTGTGGATTGTGGCGGGAGAGAGAAAGAAGATGAATTGTAGAAAGAGGAGGAGAAGACCATTTTGCCTTTTGAAAGTTAGTCACGCGAGTAGCATGTGATTATTTTTCATCCAAAACTTAACTTCCCTTTTTTATTGTCTTTATTTGACATGAAAATAAAGTATAGAGGACAAATGTGTTCAAATTAAAGCGTTAGGGATTAAAATAAAACTCAAGCGAAAATTATAGGGGCCTTTGGTAAAATTTTCTATATTTTTTAAAAGTAAAACCACCTACAAATCTTGTAAAATTCTTATTCATGCATGCGTTTTCTTTCAATGTTTGGTTCTTGTACTGTTAGATTTTATTTATGCATGTGTTTTCATTCAATGTTTAGTTTCTGTTAGATCTATGGATTTGTTTGTCATTCTTTCCTTTTGTGTTGTTCATAATATGTAGTCTGGATCTAATCCTGTCGTTTGATTAATTTTCTTTTAAATTTCTCCATGAAAATGGCTCCTGAATCAAAGCTTTGAAATTTGGAATTTCAATCAGGTAGAATGAATAGTTGTGTAAATTAATCAGTATTTTTTTTTTAATCAGTAAAATAAAATTTATTGATGAATTATATAGTACAAGTTGTACAACAAAAATACATAAATAAAAGTAATTGAAAAGGCATCTTTAAGAAGCAAATGTCAACTAGGTTGTTATACGTATCGAGCCAAACAACTGCGAGATCCCAAAACAAGCCAAACCAAGTTTGGCAAGACAACAACACTAAAAAGAAAACACCCAATTAACAAAACAGACATCAGCACTTTCTGATTCGCCATCAGCTATTGGAAAATGTAAATTGACCAGTTGGTTGGTGCTTATCTTTTAATCTTTATTTTCATTTTGAATACTGCATATATTTTTATAGCTTGGTGAAACTGGAAATTAAATAAAACTAAATAGAGGTGTACAAAGTTCAGTAACCTCTTCTATCAGTTAATCATCAAAAGACAAAATGGAAGAAAAAGATAAGGGCACTCCTTTATTCGAAAGAACTTTGCTTCCATGTTCTTCGATCTGTCCCAAACGTTTATTTAAATAAGTAAATTACACTTTGTCTCTTTTATATTTAGCTATTTTCTCATTGGACCGAAAATGAAACATTAACAGTTACGTAGTATAAAAATATTTTATTATCAGCAATGATTCAGAGCATTAATTTTGATACTATAATGGAGCACTAATAACTTGGCAAGGGAGGAAAAAAAAAAAAAAACAAACAAACAAACCAAGACCAAAACCTAGTGGTGATACTTTAGTTCAAAGCATAACAGTAGGTGGGGTCCACTGTCAGCTTATTAGAGCTAGCGTTATAACTCATGAATTAGAGCTTCAAAGCATTTTTCTTTTATTATATATAATTTACATGTCTGACACAATCTCAACCCCCAATATAATATATTTTTGAGTTAAATTCATTTTACTCCCTCATGATTTGGGACTAAATCAATTTACCCCCCTATGCTTCAAATATAGTCGGAAAACCTAGTGGTGATACTTTAGTTCAAAACACTATTTTTTGAATTAAAATACCACCGTTAAGTTTTCCATCCAAATTAACGGAAGGTATATTAACCAGTTCTGTTGGATCAAAGATACACACCCTCTGAGGCTCTTACCAATCCTCTTTGATCGAAGAGTGGTATCTATAGTAGTATTGTCATAGTATTGTGTTTATGGTAATGATGCCCTGAGTACAAGTTTAGTCTTGGCTTATTCTGTTTTGTGATTGTTAGGTCCTTGTTAGTTCAGCCAACACACACTTATTCAGTTTGTAATCGGTGTTCTGTTTTGTCATGGATCGCTTGAGCGATGGAATGATCGCTCAAGTGAAGAATCCCATCTCCCAGAAGTTTAACTAGTCTGTAAAAGTATTGAGAAGGGTTCAATGTTCGCTCGAGCGAACTTGTTGGTGGCTCCAGCGAAGTCATTAATGAATTTCACGCATATGTGATATACTGCTCGAGTGACCATTCCATGGCTCAAGCGGTCTTCGCGCCCCTGTTCTCTATAAAGCTGTGTGAAAGATAGATCTTAGGGTTACATCTGCCAGGGCATATTCTTGAGAGCTAGGGTGAGTTTATCTCATGATCTAAATAGTTTACATCAAAGTGTTGATTGATCATTTATTTCAAAGATTTCTTGTTTGGTGGATTCCGAAGATTCGGGTGTGATGGCTTTAAAGGAGTTTGAAGCAGCTCGTTGTCATGGATTCGGCGTGAGTGTTGTAGATTCGACATCAGACTAATCAATTCCGAGATGAAGGTGTTGGTGAAAGAGGCACAAGTTGTTGAAGACAATTTTACCGAGTGTAGGGTAAATTGTTTTGTATTCTTTTGAATTTTCATTCTTCATAGTGGATTGATTAGTGGCGTTTTACCCGTGATTTTTTATCACAATTGAAGGTGTTCCAACTGTAATTTTTTCTATATAAAAATCGTTTGTGTCGATTTATTAATTGTAAAACAACAATTTAAATCACTTTTGTACGTATTAGATAATTTAGATTGTTAGTTTTGTTTGTTTAGAAATTGTTGCAATTAAATCTGCTTTATATCACGAATTACTTAGGTTTTTAGTGTTATCAATACTATAATAATTTTCTCAAATTTAGTTTATCTTGTGATTTGTCATCATTAATTGCACTGGAATTAGAAATGAGTGAACAGAGCGTTCAAATCTGGTCTGCGTGTGATAAACACACTCATAGGACTCTCTCTTATATTTTCTTTGATCCAACAGGTTCTTCGGGGGAATGGTCGCATGATTGTGACATCTGTCGGCACCAACACAGTGATAGGAAAGATGATGAGCATGGTGAACGATGGTGATGATCCAAACAATGAAACCCTTTTGCAAACTCGAATCGAAAGGCCAATCAAATATGCAGATAAGATTGGTTTGTGTATCTCTATTCTCATCACTGTTGTGGTGCTCTTACGATTTTTGCGTAGAAACCATGTTGAACACAATTTTGAACGCCCGGAACTAAAGGGGAACTTCCATATTGAAAAGCTGATGAAAATGTTTGAGAGAATTCTTTTGAGGCCGCGAGGCTTGGTTTGTGTTTTAACAACTACTCTCACTGCAGTGGTGCTAGGGTTTCAAAATGGGGTCTCCCTAGCCATTACCCTCTCCCTCTCTTACTGGAACCAAAAGGTATCTGATCATGCCAACCCTCAAACTCTATCGGCTTGTAGCACCATCGGCTTCAGCACTGTCTTCTGCATTGATTTATCTGCTTGCATCTGTAAAGGCAACCTTGCATCTGTAAAGGCTCCATGTGTAGCTGTAAATTCCAGGCATCCAATGCTAATTGTCTCCCTCTCCTCTCTATAAAGAGAGGGAGCTTGCTCTCTTGTAATTATATACTGAAACATAATACAATAACACCAACTTTCAGTTCCTCTCTTTTTAAAAATGGTGGTTCAGTGGTGGTTAGTGGCTGTGGATTGTGGCGGGAGAGAGAAAGAAGATGAATTGTAGAAAGAGGAGGAGAAGACCATTTTGCCTTCTGAAAGTTAGTCACGTGAGTAGCATGTGATTATTTTTCATCCAAAACTTAACTTCCCTTTTTTATTGTCTTTATTTGACATGAAAATAAAGGATGGATGACAAATCTGTTCAAATTAAAGCGTTAGGGATTAAAATAAAACTCAAGTGAAAACTATAGAGGCTTTTAGTAAAATTTTCTATATTTTTTAAAGGGCAAATTACATATACACCCCTCCAGGTTTGACAAAATTACAGATACCCCCTGAAGTTTGAGAAATTACGAATTCTCCCCTGAATGCTATATTTGCATAAGAAATTAGGGGGTAATTTGTTATGAAATATAAACCTCAGGGGGTAAATTGTTATGAAAATACAAACCTCAGGGGGCGGGATGTAATTTCCGAAACCTCAGGGGTATCTGTAATTTAACCAAACCTGGAGGGGTGTATATGTAATTTGCCCTTTTTTAAAAGTAAAACCACCTACAAATCTTGTAAAATTTTTATTCATGCATGTGTTTTCTTTCAATGTTTGGTTTTTGTATTGTTAGATTTTATTTATGCATGTGTTTTCATTCAATGTTTAGTTTCTGTTAGATCTATGGATTTGTTTGTGATTCTTTCCTTTTGTGTTGTTCATAATATGTAGTCTTGATCTAATCCTATCGTTTGATTAATTTTCTTTTAAATTTCTCCATGAAAATGGCTCCTGAATGAAAGCTTTGAAATTTGGAATTTCAATCAGGTAGAATGAATAGTTGTGTAAAGTAATCAGTTTTTTTTTAATCAGCAAAATAAAATTGATTGATGAATTATATAGTACAAGTCGTACAATAAAAATACATAAATAAAAGTAATTGAAAAAGCATCTTTAAGAAACAAATGCCAACTAGGAGGTTATACGTATGGAGCCAAACAAGTGCGAGATCCCAAAACAAGCCAAACCAAGTTTGGCAAGACAACAACACTAAAAAAAAAAACACCCAATTAACAAAACAGACATCAGCACTTTCTGATTCACCAACAGTCATTGGAAAGGTAAATTAAATAGGTTGGTTGGTGCTTATCTTTTAATCTTTATTTTCATTTTGAATATTATATATATTTTTATATCTTGGTGAAACTGGAAATTAAATAAAACAAAATAGAGGTGTACAAAGTTCAGTAACCTCTTCTATCAGTTAATCATCAAAAGACAGAATGGAAGAAAAAAAATAAGGGCACTCCTTTATTCGAAAGAACTTTGCTTCCATCTTCTTTGATCTGTCCCAAACGTTTATTTAAATAAGTAAATTACACTTTGTTTCTTTTATATTTGACTATTTTCTCATTAGATTGAAAATGATGTATTGACAGTTACATAGTATAAAAATATTTTATTATATATAACTCACATTTCTAAGAGATGCAAATCTCCAATATAATATATTTTTGGGTTAAATTAATTTTACTCCCTCGTGATTTGGGGTTGGATCACTTTACTCCTATGATTCAAATATAGTCGGAAACCTAACAGTGAAGGTAAATTAACCAGTTACGTTGGATCAAAGAGACACACCCTCTGAGGCTCTTACCAATCCTCAATGATCCAACAGTGGTATCTATAGTAGTGCTTTTGGCATGCAAATGTCATCGTATTGTATTTAAGGTAATGTTGCCCTGAGTACAAGTTTACTTCTGGCTTATTCTGTTTTGTGATTGTTAGGTCCCTTATGTTGTTAATTCAGCAAACAAACACTCGTTCAATTTGTAATCGTTGTTCTGTTTTGTCATGGACCTCTTAAGCGATGAAATGGTTGTTCATGCGAATAATTGCATCTCTTAGAAGTTTAACTAGTCTGCCAAAATACTGAGAGGGTTTAATGTTCGCTTGAGCGAACTTGTTGATGGCTCGAGTGAAGTCACTAATGGATTTCACACGTATGTGACACACTGCTCGAGCGACCATTCCATGGCTCAAGCGATCTTTGCGACCTTGTTCTCTATAAAGCTGTGCAAAAGACACATTTTAGGGTTACATCTTCCAGAGCATATTCTTGAGGGTAGGGTTTCTCTCTGAAGATTTTTTGCATGTTTCCTTTGAGGTCTTGGTGAGTTTATCTCATGATCTAAATAGTTTACATCAAAGGGTTGGTTGATCATTTAAGTCAAAGAGTTCTTGTAGATTCAATAGCAGACTAATCAATTCTAAGACGAAGGCGTTAGTGAAAGAGGCACAAGTTGTTGAAGACAATTTTATAGAGTGTAGGGTAAATTGTTTTGTATTCTTGTGTATTTTTATTCTTCATAGTAGATTGATTAGTGGCGTTTCACCCTTGATTTTTTATCACAATTAAAGGGGCTCCAACTATGATTTTTTTCACGTAAAAATCATTTGTATCGATTTTGTATTAATTGTATTAATTGGCGTTTCACCCGTGATTTGTATTAATTGTGAAACAACAATTTAAATCACTTTTGTACGTGCTGGATGATTTGGATTGTTAGTTTTGTTTGTTTGGGGATTGTTGCAATTAAATCTATTTTGAATCACGAATCATTTAGGTTTTTTAGTGTTATCAATACTATAATAATTTTCTCACATTTAGTTTCTGTTGTGATTTGTCATCATTAATTACACTAAAATTAGGAATGAGTGATTTATATATATATATATATATATCAACAATGCTAGGTATCATAAAAAATCTTTCATAAAAATAATCATGAAAACTTTGTGACCCTTGGATTACACTTAAAATAAAGCACCACACACTAATCAAGGTAATCTAAGAATCATAATTCAATCATGATCATCTTCATGAAAAAAATTTCATGATCCCTAACTTTTCTCATATACATATTTGGTGAACAGAGCATTCAAATCTGGTATAAACACGCTCATAAGACTCTCTCTTATCTTATTTGATCCTACAGGTTCTTCAGGGGAATGGCCGCATGATTGTGACATCTGTCGGCACCAACACAGTGATAGGAAAGGTGATGAGCACGGTGAACGGTGGTGATGATCCAAACAATGAAACCCTTTTGCAAACTCGAATCGAAAGGCCAATCAAATATGCAGATAAGATTGGTTTGTGTATCACTATTCTCATCACTGCTGTGGTGCTCTTTCGATTTTTGCGTAGAAACCATGTTGAACACAATTTTGAACGCCCAGAACTAAAGGGGAACTTCCATATTGAAAAGCTGATGAAAATGTTTGAGAGAATTCTTTTGAGGCCGCGAGGCTTGGTTTGTGTTTTAACAACTACTCTCACTGCAGTGGTGCTGGGGTTTCAAAATGGGGTCTCCCTAGCCATTACCCTCTCCCTCTCTTACTGGAACCAAAAGGTATCTGATCATGCCAACCCTCAAACTCTATCGGCTTGTAGCACCATCGGCTTCAGCACTGTCTTCTGCATTGATTTATCTGCTGCGGTAATGTTTGACCAGATGAAGTTTGACAAGTTCTTTGTTGGTGAGAACGAAATTGACAGGGAAGAATACAACATATCAAAAGTTGCTCTTGAGGCTTTGCAGCAGGAAATTGGTATGAACAATCTTGTGCCCAAAAGTGGCCGATTATGTGAGGCTGTGTTGGCTGCAGTGGCTATGGAGTCCAGGGAAATGACGTTCAATGAGAAAGGCAAAGGGGTCTTGATGAGGAAGAATGAAGATAATGAGAAAATTATGCACTTGCATTGGAGAAGATCGGCACAGACTATATTAAGAAAGTGCTCGCGCTACTATGACTATGAAGGAACAAGCCATGCCTTGGATTGTGATCATAGACGTGAGTTTGAGAAACTGATTAAAGGTATGGAGGACAAGGGCCTTCATCCCATTGCATTTGCTTACCAAACAACATATGTTGGGCAAATTAGAGAAGAAGATGGGTTGATCTTGCTAGCACTAGTTGGTGTTAAGTTCAAAGAAGAAACAGAATCAGCCATGGAAGGTTTCAGAAGAGCAGGAGTAAGCATCAAATTCATGATGGGGGATGAGCTAAGCAAAGCTCATGAAGCTGAAGACAAACTTCTCTTGATACGGGACTTGAAAGCACAAGGCCATGTGGTCGCTTTCTTTGGAGGATTGACTGCAAGTGACACTCCAGCTTTAAAAGAAGCCGATGTAGGGATCACCAAGGAAACTCAGACCACTGAAATGGCCAGAGAGAGCTCTGACATGGCCAGAGAGAGCTCTGACATTATCCTTTTCGGTCAATCAGGGTTATCCTCTTTAACCCAATTGTTGAAGCATGGTAGATGTGTTTACCATAACCTTCAGAAATTCATTGTACTTCAGCTCACTACTTGCATTTCTGGGATACTAATTACATCTATCTCAACAATGTCTCTTGGAGAATCTCCAATCACAGCAATTCAATTGGTTTGGGCGAACTTAATTGTCTGTATGCTAGGTGGCATAATGATGACGACGGAGCCTCCAACTCAGGGACTAATGGCTCATCAACCACAACCTGAAAGGACAAAATCAATCATGAGCAAGGTCATGTGGAGAAACTTTACAGTTCAAGTTGTTTACCAGACCATTATTTTGCTAGCATTTCAGTTTGAAGGACAACAATCAAAACACATCCTGGAACAGAACGTAATCAAAACCATGATCTTCAACACTTTCATCCTGTGCCAGATCTTCAATGTGTTCAACGCCATGGAATTGGAAAAGAAGGAAATTTTTATGGTTGTGATTCCGTCCTACTACTTCTTGGCATCTGTAGGGGTTGTTCTGGCTTTGCAAGTGCTATGGATTGAGCTTGGGACAATTCTAACCAATTACGCGAGGTTGAATTGTGTTCGGTGGGCATTCTGTTTCCTCTTCTCTGCACTTTCATGGGGGTTTGATCGAGTCTTGAAATTTCTGTGTCTCTTCCTCAGCAAACCGTCTGTCCGGTCAGTGAGTTCACAGATATTGTTCCCAGCTAGGACACATACACCACATCTCCCTTTGATGGGCCTCATGTCTTCTATGATATTGTTATTCTCTTTTAATTATTATTTCAATTCAGACATCGCCTGGACTATGCGCTAGTCCCTGTACTGAGAAAGATGAGTTTGCGGATTAACCACTAGTCTAGTTAGTGGGTAGGTGAGGTATTGTATTAGGTGATTGGGGAACACGAAGAGGCATATTAAATGATGATTGGTTAGAGAGTATAGAAGCGTGGTACTTCAGGAATATTAAATAATTTCCCTTAGTTTAGTTAGTTTGTATATATCAATTAGTTTGTAATGTATATATCACTGCAATTCCTTCCTATATGTCATCTATAATATCTATCTATCTAAATGCTCAATCCAAATTTCTTAATTTTTCAATTTAAAAAAGTTATTAATAAATCACATACTAACACTTTCTTTTTTAAACAAAGAATGCATTTTTTATTCTTAAAATCATTGATTCCTTACCATCAAACAAGGAAGGAGTTTTCCAATTAAGAAAAATAATTAATAAATCACACACTCGAAAAATGAGTTTTTCAATTAAAAAAATTAATAAATAAAACATTCAAAAATATTTCGTCGTAAAATATTTTCTATTAAAATATTTTAAATTCTTCACCATCAAGCATAAAATAATTTGTATAATTACAATTTCGTACATGTTTTTTTATTTTTTTTTTTTTTTTTTTTTCACTATGGCTAATCTACTATATGAGACCTTATTATTCAGTAAACATTAATAGGATTTCTTTAAGGTTCAAACTCTTAACTCTTTTTTTTTTTAATTTAATTTTTTCTAATAACAAAAATACTAAGTTTCATTATGTGTTGCATTTTAATTAGATCATAATTAAATTAATGGAGTTTTATATTAAACCCTTGAATTATGCTACCATAATTACCATTTCAAATTACTTAATTTATGTTTAGCATACCAAATTTATTTTCAAAATTTCTTCCCTAAGATTGCATTAATGCATGATTTTGGTACATTCTTATATACACATATGGAAAATAAATAATTTTTTAACTTAAAATTTAAACATTATTGATTCTTTAACATGGCTTGGGCTTCTCTCTAGTCCTTCATCGGACTGGAGAGGTGGCATTGGGCCTTGTGCACTCCATTTTGGGTCTCATTTTGATAATCTAAACCATTTATATTTTAGAATTCGTCGAATATATCATTTCTGTAAAAAATCAAGTCGATCAGATAACGACAACCATGCATTTGTATCAGTTTTGTATGGAAAAAAATGAATGGTGAGAAAATAAATGGTACATAAGAAATTGATCCAAACACGTGATTTCCATTATCTGATCGGCTTGATTTTTTGTAGGGATAATGTACTCAACAAATTCTAAAATTTAAACGGTTCGGAACATCAAAATGAGGCCCCAAAATTGGCCCTTTGAATGTGTAATCCGATATTATAACTCACAAACTGACTCATACCGGTTATGAATTGATAAATTATGATATAATTTATACATAATGTTTAAATTTATTAATATCAAATATTTTTACTAAGATTAAAGCTAAAATATGACATAATTTAGGTCGGGTCTATCTTAGATAATTTTTTAATATATGAATATATGTAACTAGTTATTTCATAGTGTTAACATAAATATATAATTTTTTATCTAAGTTCAAATTTTTTAATAGATATACATAAAATATGTTCATATTTGAATGTTTAATCCGATATTATAACCCCCAAACTAGCTCATACCGGTCATGAATCGATAAAGTCTAATATAATTTATACATAATGATTAAATTTATTATTATCAAATATTTTTACTTAGATTAAAGTTAAAATATGACATATAATTTAGGGAAGCTCTATCTTAGATAATTTTTTAATATATAAATATATGTAACTATTTATTTCACAATGTAACATAAATATATAATTTTTTACCTAAATTCAATTTTTTTAATAGATATGCATAAAATATGGTCATATTTCATTTAAAAAATAAAAATACTTGTATATATTTATTTACCAATTTAATAAACAAATAAGTCAAATAATTCATAAGTTGGGCATAGACCAACACAATTTTTAATGAGTAGGTGAGGGTTACGTTGGCATAAATATACAAGTCATTTATGTGTAACTTTAATAAAAATGAAAAAAATTTAATTGATTATAAATCATTTTTACTACATATTTTAGATAAATTTTATATTATTGATTCATAATATTAAACAAGCAGTTTGAACTCATAGAAAAGATACAATTGAAAATAGAAATCGATTCATTTTATAGATCGAAATCAAAAAGAGAAAAACCTAATCGGACATAAAAACGAGTACTTCGAAGACAAATCAAAAGATGAGATTAGGGTTTTGACTTACCTGATCAACGAAGATGAGAGGTGAGAACGCTGCGAAGATCTGAGAGAGAAGAAACAAACAAATCACACTAATAGCGGACAGCCTCTATGGTAACTGGTGCTGTGCAACAAAACGGCGACGCATATATATTTGATTTTTTTTTTTTTTTAGGTTTATCTTATTTTATTTTTGAATTTTTAAATTTCAACTTGATTTATTTTTTTCAACCTTCATTTGATGTTTACTGAATTTCTCTCTACCTCATTTTTCTAGAATTTATTTAATTTTTTTCTTTCTATATTCTTATAATTCATCCTCAAATTTAAATTTAATTTTTTTTTATCCTTATTATATATTTATAGAATCCACTCTCGTCCTTAATTTTCAGTTGAACTTATTTTTTTTTCAAAAATTTATCTAATTTTCTCTTTCTATATTCATCTTCAAATTTAAAGTTAATTTTTTTTTATATTTATCTTATATTTATAGAATTTCACTCTTACTCTTCCTTTTCAATTGAGTTTATTCGATTGAGTGTATTTCAAAAAAATTAATTAGTCCTATATATTTATATAAATATAGTAAAAACACTCAAATCTATTATTTAAATAACCATCTAAATTAATATTATAGTATTTAATTAATTTTTAATATATTTTGTATTATTTATAATATTTTGTTACTTGTCCGTGCATAACATAAATTTTACACTAATTATAAATATATGTAGAGGGGTTTGTAATGTTCAAGATTTTTGTATAACCAAACACCATGCAATTGGCAATCAAACTAGGATACCATAAACCAAACTCCAAACAATGCTTATTGGTGCAACTGAACATGATCTTAAGATATTTTAAGGAACAAGGGAAGAGTATAAAATTATTCTGGGCCTCCTCATCTCTTAATGGATTGGTTCAGAAAGTTAGGCCAAGTTTGGGAAGACTAAAAAAAGTGTACTTTTTGTCTTTTTGAACTAAAAAATTGAGGTTGAAAATATGGATGTTTGGGTTAATTTTTTGACTTTTTATTGAAAAATGTGTAATAAAAAATTGTAAAAATTAATTTGTAAGGAAAAATTTGAATTGGGAATTGTGCAGCCGTAATTGTTGACTTTTGATGAATAGCGTTAACTTTTTAACTTTTTGACTTTTTGACTTTTTTTGAAGTCCCCAAACTTGGCCTTAGTTAAAAATTAATTTTTTGATTTTTTAAAATTTTTTTTTTTTTTAAAATATGTAAAAGTTGAGAAAATATATGACCCATATATATTTCCAAAAGAGGCCTATATCTCTAACTTCTCTCTAGATTTTCCATCTCATTTTCTTGCTACCCAAACATCACATCTTGCTCCACCCTTGCACCACAACCTCAACCCATCAACACCACCACCGTCCACCTTAATCTCACGTGAAAAAGCTCCGGCCAACCATCTCGTTCTCTTTACGCGATTAGCTCCAAATCAAGCTCAAACTCTAAATTTTATCTCTTCAAGAATCAAGGCTTGGGTTTGTGTTTCGTGATGCAATAGACGCCTATAGTTGGTAAGAATCTCTCTACAAAGTTTAGTTTAAGGTTTTACATATTTTGATTTAAAGATGATGATTTTTAAATCTATCATGATTTGGGTTTGATTGTTAAGTTTTATGCTTTCAATTAGTTTCTATGGATGTTTTTGCATGTAGAAAAGCTATTGATTTGATGATTGATTTGGAGATCGGAATTAGGGTTATTCTAGGGTTTGAATGTGATGTAAAGATTGAGGATTTTGGTGTTAGGAAATTTATATGTTGGAATTGATTTGAGAAATTGTAAATTGAGGATCTTTATGTATTATGAATGATGCTAGAGGAATTTTATGAATTATTGAGGTAAATTATCCAACTTGATGGGTTTATGGAAAAGTAAATTTTTAACTTTTGGAGTTTTATAGGTGATGATGTTTTGCATATAAATTAATTGGATATGATTACTCAAAATTCTAAGGATGGAGTTGGACAATTTTTTTTATTTGGGTATCTTAAGAGGAGGTCAGAGGAGTTCATATTATATTTAGGTTCAACTTTTTAAATGTTGCATCATTCTTGAAGTATTATCCTAATTTCTAGTATCTTCTATTAATTGCTAGGTCTGGAGAAAGCATTTTTACTCCTCATTAGATTTGTAGATTTTCAACTAACCATTTTGGCTTTTTGGAGGTGAGTATACTTACCATGGAAATTCACGTTACCTCTATTTGAAATACAAAGTTTGAAAATATTTTTAATTAAAGGAAGTGAATGAATTAAATTACATGTTTTATCATGATATGAGTACATATTGAAAAATCTATAAATTTATTGAGGTCAAAAGTTGAGTTTAAATAAATGATTTCATTTGTATAATGAAACATCAATTTTTCTGTAAGATTTATTTAAGTTGAGTCTTTCAAATTTTGTGATGATGATAATGGAATGACAACGAAACGTTATGTGAAAATATTTCTTTTTATTGATCATATAAGCGAATATAGCCTATGGGGCCACAAGGGCTGAAATGCTTTGGGGTCCTAGGAACCAAAATGTTTTTAAGACCATAAGAGTCATTGTACATAAGGGGTCCTGGGGACCGAAATATTAACATGAGGATTAAAGTGCTATGATGACACGAGTTATATATGTTCCTATGGACATCTTTTGGATAACGGTACCGTCATCACTTAAGTCGCAAGGTAATACGACCCAAAGGCTATGTAATGGATTGTATGATGGATACGAGATTTTAATGTGTTGAAAAGTTGATTTTTGTTTTAATCCCTTTATTTCAAATGTATTCTACCGCACTACAATATTCTTTAAAAAATCTCAATAATGGTTTATGCAAAGTTTTTGCTATGTATTAATTTCATTACAATCAAGCTCTTATATAAATTACCTTTATTGTTGACCCATTGGGAAAGAACAAGTTTTACAACTCCATGGTATTGGTATACTTATTGGGCTCTAGCTCATTCTTTTTAAATTAAAACTTTTTTAGATTCCTAGACTATAGTGTGGCTCACCTCAACTTGGAAGCTTAGATTTTTTGAAGGATCAAAGGAGGCCATTTTGTAGTTGAGGTTTTGCATAGGGTCACTTTAGGATGTAGCTTTATCTTTTGTATTTTGAAGGAAGCTGATTTGTAAATATTGTTGATTATGAAATTTGATGTAAAGATGGATTCATGTTGGTGTTATTAGGAAAAGATACATGAGAACAAATTTAGAGGCATGATGATATTATTTGTACTTGAATGGATCAACTAGTATATAATAGTTGATTGAAAGGTTTTATGCACTATTGATGATGTAAATATATGGATTGTACAGGAGATTATTGTGTACAAGTATTATAATACTTGAGGTTTGCCCTCTTAGCATGGTTTGCCTTGCCGAAATTGGGTTGTGATAAGGTTACATGGTTATCTAGGTAGGCATTCTTGAGTCTGTATATAAAAGCATTGTGGCACAATGAATGGTGGAAATGCAGAATCCATCACTGCAGTAAATGTCTTTAATTGTAATGCTTTTGTACGCCCCCCCTGGAAATGTCAAAAACTGCTCTTAGGGTTGTTGTTAGTGTTGGAATATTTGTACAAATGTATTGAAATATGTAAAAAATATATAAAAATGTTTTGAGATATGTGAAATATGTACTGAGATTGTAAATATTTTGACATTATAGAGTCCTTATTGACAGTTAGTAGAACCCATCATAGAAATACATATAGAATTGCTAAAATTTCATAGTGTCGTTGAAGTTATCAGCCAATAGGTTGGATCAGTGTTGATATAATTTCAGTACTACTATAAACTCAAAAAAGTACAAAAAAATTTATCCAAAATATGCAATCAATGGTCAACATTCATCGTAGGTGTGTTTCACATCTCACTAACTTCAGATTTACATCGCACAAACTTTTAAGGTAAGATTTGGAGTAAATTTCATTTCATGATCCATAGCATTTTTGATATAATATTACTAGCCTGAACTAGTGCTTATCTTAATACTAAATTTGTCACTCTTGCATGTTCACCTCATTTTCTGCTATCATCTTAAATCTTTTAACAATATTACATACTCATAAAAATTACTTAAAAAAGTAAAGCAATAGATCACGTTTATTGTGGGTACGAGCCACATGACACTAATTTTAAATCTATAACTATAGACACTATTTTTGACCGCCCGTAAGACTTGGGCGCTTTGTTCTGTGCACTCGATGATGAAAGTTACATTTTGTGTGATTAGACTTCTAAACGAAGGAATCCAAGGTTGAGCTTTAAAACAGTCCCAACACCTTCTTGTTTACCTTGTTTATACTTCAGAGGTCCCTTTTTGAACATTGTGCCACCCTACATTGAGCTTGCAATAGAGAAATAGGGCAGCACATTGGTGTCCGGCCATACCTCATTGGGAGCTGGCCGTGGCCATTTGGGGTCAGCCGTGCTTTGGTGGAGATAAACACTGTTCTAGGCGAGAGCCTGCCAGCTGTTTATTTTTGAAGATATTTTTGACCTATTTTGCTCAAATTCTATGAATATGAGGTTATATCTCTGTTTTGAGAGTTGAACAATTTCCAAAAGCCTATACACTTACTTGAGAGTTCTTTCTTCTTGTGCAAGTCATCTTTGAGCAAGCTTGCCACCTTTGAACTATATCTATACACCATACAAACCCTCAAACCTTAACCTTAGAGCCTTGGTTGAGCCTTGATAATCGCAATTCAAGCTTAAGGGTATGTTTGGACCAAGTTTGATTCACAACAAGAGCTTGTCCTCTTTAAGAGGTATAAGCTTACCATCTTTTCTCTTGCTTTCATTTCTGTCTCTTACTATCAATTTCTTGTATCTTTGTATTGTTTTGGATCCATTTCAAGTATTAGAACTTGGGTTTGAATAGCTACCAAAAGTAGAAAAGTTTAACACCCTTTCTTGCACCTTACTTCATAGCTCACACCCTTGTCTTTACACTCTTTTGTTTAGTCTTCAAACTGATTTTCAGAGTTCAAAATAGGCTCAAATGCATGGTTTGAGGTCTCAAACATGGAGGGACTATCCTCATTTCCTTGCTTTGTTCACTAGCCTTGTGATTCCTTGTTATTTCCTATCATTTTCATACTCTTTAAACGTCATTTTAGTCACTGGTTTTTACATATTAGGGGCTGTTTAGACTTGTTTTAATTCATTTAATTGGTTTATGCTTTGAATACTTTGCTTATCATGTTGTAAGTCCTCATGGCTTTGCTCGTTTAGGCTTTAGACATCAAGCCATTTGAGTTGATAACTTTTCTTTGCTCGGTTTTCATATTAAGAGTCTCATTCTTAAACTCAATCTTGTGCAATCATGTTTACCTCCCTTTTTTGTTCTTTTCTTTTGTTTGAGAGTTGTCTCAAAAGATTGATGGTAATTCAAGGCATGGGAAAGAGACCTATGCTCAATGGCTTAACCTCTACGGAGGTTCATCGTCAAGGCATAGTCCCTCTTTCATGTTTCGGATTACTTCTCGTTTGACATTTCTTCTCATGTAGTGGACTTAACCATCACTTTGGACAAATTGATTAAAGAATGGAAATAACTAATAAAATAGGCTTAAAACCAATGCAACCGACGTAAAGAAAATGAGTAAGATTGCTTGGATTCGGCCGGACGTTATGTCGAATCCATAGTGTCAAGAGTGTCACGTACCAATTCATGATGTGTTGATGAAACTTGAAACGTCTCTACCTCCCTCTTTGAGCTCACTTCATGATAGAAGGGAGGAGTGGTTGTTGTTCATTGCATTTATTGATTTTTTGTCCAATTGTCTCCGAAATCATCAAGCGATCGATCAACTTGCTTATTGATGGTTTTGGAACCAACTTCATTCTTCTCTTGAGCCTCTCCATGACAGAGAAGAGCAGAAAGGACAAATAGAGCTCAAAATAGCTATGTCTGCACTGCTTTCACCTTAAAGCACAGAAGTAAACTTTTGCATGAAATCAGGGCACGACCGGCCTTGTTTGGCTTAATCGGGCCTCGTTAGGGACTGGCCGAGCCCCAATGTTTGGTAAACAGTGTGTTTTTGCAGAAACAAAAGGCAGTGGCTGAAGGGGAAACACGACAGATTCCCAAGGAGGCAGACAGAGCTGCTTCTAAAAACAGTCACATGCATACAATCCTTGTGCATCTTTGTTTATAACAATGTTGTGAATTAATATTTATTGTTGTGATTAGTTAATTATCATTATAGTCAGCATTGTTGTAATTATTATTAATGTTTATTCGTAATTGTCATAGTTAGTTAATTTAACTAGTTAGTTTTATTGTTCATCTTTGTTGTAATAAATTAGATTGCTTAGTATTCATTAGCTTAATTTCTTCATTTGGTTTTGTAATAGTTAGTTTATTTCGGAACTTGGATATTCATTCGGACCTTCTTGCACGATGGCAAAAAGTGTAATAAGTGTGTATGTCTTCTAACCCCTATTTATTTCTCCTTTTTATTTTTCTGCTTATGATGGTAGAATAGAGCATCATGTTTTAATTAGTATTTTTCATGTCCAAAGTATCCATTTGTCTTGCATGCATCAAAGCCCGATTCATCATTCTAACAAAGCATTAGTATTGCTTAAATTCTTTGAATACATGCTTAGACTATATGCAATCAAATTGCTTCAAATACCATGTTAGTAGCCGAGCCCATTTAATTGCATAATTGTATGTGTTACATTAATCATGTTGCATTAGTTAGGATTACACATTTTTTCTAACTCTTTTGTCTTTTTAGCTTGTCTCGGAGTACTAGGTGAGCATTTAATTGCTTTAGCATACCGCATGCGTGTGATTGTTGCCATGTCATCAAAGCATGATTCCATGAGGCTAAGTGCTTAAGTGTTATATCTGTTTGAATGCCGGTGGATAAAGGCTAATTGCTTGAATTGGAATAAATTGATTAATGTACATATAAACTCACTTTTTTAAGTGACGCGTATTTAAAACACTTTTTCAAATAAACATGAAATCAAAATGTTTCAATTTTTACAAATTAGTCTATACTTGTGCAAGTCATAGTAATGCTAGCCTAAATAATTGAAACAAGAGCATATAATGTAAATAAGAATCACATCATGATTAGTAAAGACCGATCTTTGATCGGGGCGAGTGGGGTGCTCAATTCATGACCTTTCTCTCTTGCACCTAAGTTCCCGAGCCAGACACTTTGGTGATGACGGACATCTGGCCTTTGGCATGAGTCATAAGTTTCCTAAATTTTTCAAAAATATTTAGGTGGCGACTCTGAATTTGGCAAAGCAATCCATTTTTGGCATTTTTGAGTCAAAATCGATTTTTCAAAAGATTTGCTGGATTTGGACTCATTTGTGTTTTTTCTATTTCACATTGCACTTGTGAAATCAGATTCAGAATCACAAGAGTCCGAACTATAGGGCTAGTCGTATTTGAAAGAAGCATGAAAGTCAAGCTACAATACCTCTCACTTTCAAACTAAAATTATGGGTACATTTTCATAGTGCATAGCATTTTTCTTAACTGAAGACAACATATTTATCTTATAGTATTCCAAGCAATATGTAGAATCAAACTCCACCTAAGTTAAAACCTAACCTAGGATACTAAAAAATTGGACCCCGAACATATTTATAATTGTAACCAAACATAACCCATCAGCTTTTAATAACAAAAGAATGTAGAATTTTATTTAATTTTCTATCCTTCTCTCAAACTTTCTTACATTATCTTAGTGGGCAAGCACTTTACAATTGCTCCACCTTTGCACCACCATCACCACTACTGCCTACCATCTCACCTCACTGAAAAAAAGCTCCAGTCGGCCACATTTTCTCTCGCTACGAAAATAGCACAAAATCAAGCTAAAACTCTAAATTTTCGTAATCTCTTCAAGAACCAAAGCTTGAGGTTTCATTTCATGATGGGTTAGAGGCATTTAATTGTTGGAAAAAATGGTTTTTGGGTTTGAGAATTGAATGAAAATTATCTCATAAAGTTGGCCTCATGAATAAAAGATTGAGAATGATGATTGAGCATTTTATACATGGTCTAACCATGAGAGACACATGGCGTAACAATGAGGGACACATGGCCTTAATAGTGTTTTAGACCATGAGACACACATGGCCTAGCCATAAGGGACACATGGTTTTGGAAGCCATGAGGTATACATGGCCTTAATAGTGTCTTAGACTATGAGACACACATGGCCTAGCCATAAGAGACACATAGTTTTGGAAGTCATGAGGTACACATGGCCTTGCCATATGTCATGCCAAAGATGCCTATAT